TTCTCAAGCCTAAGTGGGGACAGCTGAGAAAAGCCTGCCCAGTCCAGTGACAGGCCCTGGTTTCGGCTGCTGCTGTTTTTGTTGGGCACTTTTATTGCGCTTGTTCTTTCCATTGGATGTGGCTTTTCCCATCACCACCAGGCCCTTTTGGTCCTATTCTTGCACAAAACCCGGTGGTGCACAAGGGTGGACTTCCAGTTACAGTCACACAGGTGATTTATCCTTATCCTTCTGTCACTCTGTTTGGGGAAATTGTATAGAGAGGACACTCATTAAGACACATTTTTCAGTTGGACATGGTGGCGTATGCTTGTAATCCCAGTACTTGGAAGATGGAAATAGGAAGGTTAGGAGTTCAAGGTCATCTATAGTTACATAGCAAGTTTGAGACCAGATTGGGCTACCTGAGATTCTGTCTCAATTGAAAAAAAATAGACACCATTTTCTTTCTTGGTGGGTAATAAGATTTAGGATATTTTTCTGACAGCAAACTTCCGTTGGAACCACCCTAAATCAATGGAGAACTTTTGAGAACACCTATTTCAAAGGGAAGTGGCTAAAATCATCCATCTCTAGGCTCCTTAAGCTCCCCACACAAGTTTAGCCCTCTCCTCCTAGCTATGAGCACTGTGTATTGGGCAGACCACAGAAGTTCCTATCAGTCCATCCTCTTCAGGAAAGGGACTTTTACTGAACTGAATTTTGTGTAACAGAGAGTGGCCATTCATTCAGGTTGAGGGACTAGAAGTTACAGACAGGAATAGGGCCACCGAGGAGGGCAGACTTCTACCTTCTTCCTTACCAGTTTCTTCAATCTTAAAAAATGAGGGGAGGGGAATCTGCCTTAATACCACCAAGAACACTTAAAATACCCAGGCCTTTGTAGGGCCTTTGTATTTTGCTTTCTTTTTAAAAAATTTTTTATTATTATTATTTTTATTGTATGTTTATGGGTGTATTGCCTGCATGTGTGTAAGTGTACCCTGATAGAATGCCCTGATTGCAGAAAGCTGGTATTATAAATCAATCACTTTCCTCCCACCTGGAGGGCTGTTTGTTCAGACAGCCTGTTTCCCAAGCCAGCCTGTTTCCTTGAGCAAATGGTCCCAAGAAGAGATTATAAACCCCCTGTCTCTCAAGATAAACCAGAACAAATGATGTCAGGAAGAAGGAAGCCATAAAGAGGCCATAAATATCTCAAGAGTGCCCCTGATGTACATGTAGTCAGCCAGCCACAGCTACAGCCTATAAAAACCCCAATGGCCCCTTCCCGGGGGTAGCAGTCGATGTGAGAAGCATGTGAGAAGACTGCTGCTCCTCCCTGAGGTGCTTCAATAAACTCAGTCTTAAGTCAGGTATCATCGCCTTCTTTTTCCCCTATTGTTCCTGTATTCGGCACCTCAAAAACCTAACACACCCATGTTGTGCAATGACCAAGGCAGTCGGAAGAGGGTGTCAGATCCCCTGGAACTGGAGTTACTGACAGTTGTTAGCCACTATGTGGGTGCTGGGAACTGAAATGAACCATGGACCTCTGCAAGAGCAGCCAGTGCCCTTAACCACTGAGCAATCTCTCTAGCGCTTCCTGGGGTCTCTTTTACAAGCATTCATTCAGGTTGAGGGACTAGAAGTTACAGACAGGAATAGGGCCACCGAGGAGGGCAGACTTCTACCTTCTTCCTTACCAGTTTCTTCAATCTTAAAAAATGAGGGGAGGGGAATCTGCCTTAATACCACCAAGAACACTTAAAATACCCAGGCCTTTGTAGGGCCTTTGTATTTTGCTTTCTTTTTAAAAAATTTTTTATTATTATTATTTTTATTGTATGTTTATGGGTGTATTGCCTGCATGTGTGTAAGTGTACCCTGATAGAATGCCCTGATTGCAGAAAGCTGGTATTATAAATCAATCACTTTCCTCCCACCTGGAGGGCTGTTTGTTCAGACAGCCTGTTTCCCAAGCCAGCCTGTTTCCTTGAGCAAATGGTCCCAAGAAGAGATTATAAACCCCCTGTCTCTCAAGATAAACCAGAACAAATGATGTCAGGAAGAAGGAAGCCATAAAGAGGCCATAAATATCTCAAGAGTGCCCCTGATGTACATGTAGTCAGCCAGCCACAGCTACAGCCTATAAAAACCCCAATGGCCCCTTCCCGGGGGTAGCAGTCGATGTGAGAAGCATGTGAGAAGACTGCTGCTCCTCCCTGAGGTGCTTCAATAAACTCAGTCTTAAGTCAGGTATCATCGCCTTCTTTTTCCCCTATTGTTCCTGTATTCGGCACCTCAAAAACCTAACACACCCATGTTGTGCAATGACCAAGGCAGTCGGAAGAGGGTGTCAGATCCCCTGGAACTGGAGTTACTGACAGTTGTTAGCCACTATGTGGGTGCTGGGAACTGAACCTAGGTCCTCTGCAAGAGCAGCTAGTGTTTTTAACCACTGAGCCCTCTTTCCAGTCCTAGATTTCACTTTCTGAATCCCCTCTCTACTTGTAGAGAATCTTTTTCTCTATGTGTGTTTCTTCACTTTTAATAAAGCTTGCTGTCCTGTATGCCTGAGATTCTTCTTGCCTGAGATTCTTTAATTGGTGGAGGAAATAAACCTGACCAAAACCTTTTGACAAGGTGACTCTTGCTGGAAATTAATACAGTCTGCTAAGGGACTTTGCCACATTGTCTGGATAGAAGCATCTGACATGTTTTTATTTTTTAAGATTTATTTTATTTTTAATTATATGTATATGGTACGTCTGTGAACAGGAATGTGCATATGAATGCAGGTATCTGCAGAGATCAGAAGAGGGTGTCAGATTCCTTAGAGCTGGAGTTACATCTGTCTGATGTGGATGCTGGGAATCAGTTCATGACTTCTGAAAGAATAGCACATGCTGTTAATGAGCCGTCTTTCCAGTCCCTGACACCTTTAAAAATATTGTTATTATTATTATTATTATTATTATTTTATAACAGAGTTTCACTATGTTACTTCTATGTAGTCCATGCTGGCCTTGAACTCACAGAGATGTATCTGCCTCTTCCTCCTGAGAGCTGGGATTAAAGGTGTGCAGTACCATAGTTGGTTATTTTTATTATTTTTAATGATGTGTATATGTTTGTATCTGCTTGGGGGTATGTGCATGTAGTGCAGGTGCCAGTGGAGACCAGAGATATCAGATCTCCCTGGAGCTGGAACTACATGTGATTGTGAGTCACTTCTCACATGGGTACTAGACACTGAACTCAGGTCCTCCACAAGAGCAGTAAACACTCTTGATTTCTTCATTGTCGAGCCATCTTCCCAGGTCCTCTCTGACTCCTCCTCCTTCCCCTCCTCCCCTTCACCCTTCTCCTCCTCCTATTATTTATTTATCTATTTATTATTTATTTTTATTTTATGTGCATGAGTGTTATGCCTGCATATATGTGAGTGTACCTGTGTCATTCAGTGCCCATGGAGTCCAGAAGAGGGCGTCGTATCTTCTGGAACTGGAGTCATGGATGGTTGTTAGCAGCTATGTGGGTACTGATATTTGAACCCGGATCTTCTGCAAGAGCAGCCAGCGCTTTTAACTGCTGAGCATCTCTCTAGTCCCTGCCCTGAATCTTCTTTTCCTAGGTAAATAATGATAAAAAGTTCTTCCTCACCAGATACATACATGTGTATAAAGTTACCTAATATGCCCTGCTGCCCAGATGTGCTCAGATGTGTTTTCTTTCTCACCCATTCCTTTCCAGCTGGACCGTACCTCAGCATCATTCAGTCTGGGAACATGGAGCTTTCTAGAGACCTAGCTCATTCTGTTTTCTCTGCTTGACTCTGCAAATATGCCCTTGTTCTGACCTCTGATGGCCCCGACAGTGTTCTGCGTCAGAGCTGCTCTTGGGGTGTGTTTGTTTAAAGTAGCTTATTGTTAGCACAGATACTTAGAATTGATTCTACATTTGTACTGAACCTGGATACAAAGGCAGCCAAAGCCTGGAGCATTTTTTCATGGTGAAAATTGGCTAATTAAGGAACCAACAACGCACAGCAAGTGCCTCTCTTAAGGTGGGGACGGACCTGACAAAATGTGCCTGGCTACCACCCTGTACACCACAAATAAACTCTCGGGGTAGTAAGAAAGGTATTTTTCTGAAATGCTGTTTCAAGGAACTGTATTGTCTGTGTCTGGTTTCTGCCATTGGCCAAATTACAATGTGTACTCAGACCCCTGAGATTTCAGACCAGGCCTTTTATTATATGCAATTGCAGGATTCCCAGACATCAGCAGGTGGCTCAAGGGCATGTCTCAAAGCAGACTTGAGTCTCCAAAAGAAAATGATAGCTCTCTTGAATTATTTTGGGAGAGAAACAAGTTTCCACATGTTTTATGAGACATGATCAGGTACTTAATACTGTGTTGTTCTTGCAGGTGTTTAATTATTGACTTTAGACACAAATTGTCAAAAAAGTTTAAAAAAACGACAGAAAAAGAAGACCAATTCTAAAGATTTCTTTGAAATTATTCGCAGTTCTTCCTGACATTTTCCAAATTAGTCATGTTTCACTTTAATATCTGAAATGCTTTGCTAATGTCATGAGGCCTGTGGCTTTGGCACAGCCGCCCTTGTTTTGTCCCGACTTAGCCTTTCCCTTCATATGACATTGCATCCTGGCTGTTTGAAATCCCTACTGAGTTTGGAGAAATTATGTCTTGGCATCTGACCTACTTTCCTGGAATATGATGTGATGTTGTTGATATGGTGGGTCACTCCACTTGACAATAAGTTTGCTTGTTTCATTTCAAACACTTGACTATTTAGTGGGGACTAAGAATAGAATGGAAAGCTGTGTTTGCTACAGTTTGTTTCCTGCCTGTGCCTTTTATAATGTCATTTGTGAAAAAATTGATCAGATTAGGATGAATCACGTGGTTGCCTAATAGGGACTGGAACGATCCTCCACACATGACTTTGTTGCATTCTTATAAAACGTGGCAGGATAGACCTGCCCAGCGCTTCCTGCCGATGTTCACTTGTGTTCATGCTGTCGTAAGGAGATGAGATGAGAGCAAACTGCTCCAGCAGCTCCTCTTGCCCTGCCAACAGCTCGGAGGAAGAGCTGCCCGTAGGACTGGAGGGACATGGGAACCTGAAACTGGTTTTCACAGTGGTGTCAGCTGTGATGGTGGGTCTGGTCATGTTCTCCTTTGGATGTTCTGTGGAGATCCGGAAGCTCTGGTCACACCTCAGGAGACCCTGGGGCATTGCAGTGGGACTGCTCTGCCAGTTTGGGCTCATGCCTCTGACGGCCTATCTGCTAGCCATCATCTTTTCTCTGAAGCCAATCCAAGCTATTGCTGTCCTCATTATGGGGTGTTGCCCTGGGGGAACCGTCTCCAACGTTCTCACTTTCTGGGTTGATGGAGATATGGATCTCAGGTAAGTTACAGTAGGAAGCTTAGCAGCAATTCCCTCACTCTGCTGGGAGTAATGCGCATTTTTGTGCTTTTAAAAGGATCTTGCACTCTTTGGGTAGCTCTCATTGGGAAATAGTAGAAACATCGCTGGGACTTGGACAGCCTTTCCGAGGTCCAAGCCGGCTTTGCTGAGCTTATTGGCTGCTTTCTTGGCAGCTTGCTCTGTTCTGAGCAGTGAGGCTTGGCTGCACAGGGAGCAGTGCCGGCATGTCTGTGCCTCGCCCAGTGATGTTTCCTAAGCGTGGACTCATTCCATGTTGGCATCTGGAACATAATTTCCTAGGACCTCACCGAGAAGCCCACATAGCTAATGACAGCAGTTGGGCAGTAGCAATGGTGGTGACAAGTGACAACCAGAACGAAGTCCTCATAGCTCTTTATTTCTCTTTTTGGTTTTTGCCCTCGTTGCTCTCAGCAGTCTCCTGAGCACCTTTCTTGAGAAACAGTGATTTAGGAGACTGTGGAAAGGACCTTTGTGGCATCTGACATGTGGTGCTGTAAGTGCCAGCAGTTGCCTTGTTGATTTGATTTAGGGAGTCCAAGGAAGCTCTCAGGATCATCAACTTTGTTGCTGCTTTGCAGATGTTTAACGCCCATCGCTAGACTTGCTTTCTTTTCATTTAAACCAGAGACCTTATTCCCAGTTACCATGTAGACAAATACCCCAGGGGACATTAAGCTTTACCATTTATTTATACTGTAAACTACTAGGATGAATGAATCACATACTTTTTGGAATAAATGTCTTGGTGGGGGATTTAAAGAACATTTGAAAAAAGAGTAGATGGGTCAGTATTTTTTAAAAAAGAGCTGAAACAATGGTTTGTCTAGGATTTTTGCTTATAAACATACTTTTCCATCCCACCTAGGGAAAGTACCCCATATAAATTTAAATATTTGCATGTATATGTCATTTGGTTGGGATTTACTATACATCGAATGAATGAATGAATCAGAGTTGATGACTGAGCCAGGAGTTGATGTCAGTGAGTCAGCTGCCTCTCTGGTTCCATGCTCATACTAAATATTAAATGTATGGAACAGATTTCACCTGTACCTTTTTTTTTTTTTTTTTTTTTGTCTTTTTGAGACAGGGTCTCCCTGTAGCCCCAGCTGTCCTGAACTCACTATGTAGACCAGGCTGGTCTTGAACTCACAAAGATCCGCCTGCCTCTGTCTGCTGTGATTAAAGGCGTGCTCCACCACGCCTGGCCACCTGTACCTTTTAATGGGTTCATACCACTCAGACAAGTAATTAACTTTATTTAGCAATTCCTGTTAGCCACCACTTATGTGAGACTTGGAAATAAAAATTCTTCATGAATTTTACATTTTAGTACTACTCCACTCATTTTCCACTATTTCAAGTTCATAAAGTTGAATATTAACATAACATAATATAAATACCCTTTGCACAATATTCACATGTCAATGATAAAGTCCAGGTCTTGAGCATTTTTGGAATGAAAAAGGAAACTAGTGTTTATTAAGTACTGGATAAGTCTGGGCTAGATGCTTCACCGTCTCTTCTTGGTTCCCACAATAACTTTATAAGTGACCTTTCATTATTCTGAATTTTACAGCTGGATTCAGATGGGTTAAGTAGCCTGCCAGATGCTGCAAAGGAGTACAGCAGAGCTCACATATGAATTCACATCTGTTTTATATCAGTTTGCAACTTAGGCTCTTTTTTTTCCATGACATTTAGCAACACAACTGCATTGTCTATTTAGAGTAAAAGCATAAATCTTGAAACAGTGTTTTGAAACACTTCTGGGAAAGGGAATATTTATTACCATCATCTCTGATTCGTCAGCAGTATCATAAAACACCAATGAGCGGAAAGTGTAGGAAAGAGAAAGTTCACTTTGTTTCTCATTACCAAACCTATCTTTTTCATTTATTTTGCTTTGGGTTTTTGAGACAAGATCTCATGTAGCCCAGTGGCCTTGAATTCCTCATCTTTCTGCCTTCAATCCCCAAGTGCTGGGATTACAGATGTGTATCACCAAGCATGATACCAACTCTATTCTTAATTAACTTTTAGCTTTGACTAAGTAACTTGTCTGAGAATACATACACATATACACATGTGACACAAAACTAGGCACATAGTAGGTATGAAGCACATATTAGTTCCTTTACCTTTATTTATTTATTTATTTATTTATTTATTTATTTATTTACTTATTTACTTATTTTGTGTACACACAGGAGTGTGTGCCATGGCGCATGTGTGGAGATCAAAGGAGAACTTTCAGC